AAGTTCGGTTGATGGGTGCCCCATGCTTTGAAGCAGTATGGCATGGATTTTCGCGCCGATACGGCACTTTCTCTCCTCACGCTCAAGCGCAGAAGACGGTCAGATGTATTCGTTAGTGAGTGTTTGGAAGAGCTTTTGTACTCTAACTAGCGATGCCTCGCGCGTCCACTTTCGTCACTTCTTTCCCGATTTCCCGAGTTATGATCTCTAGAAGTCATCACTATCACTTTGTCCGAGGACTTATGACTCAACCTAATATCACTTTTTCACCGTCCTTTTTGGCCAAAGTGGGCGGTGCGTACCAAGCAATCTGGCACACTATCTTCACGTTAAAAAAACCGCGATTACAATAAACCATAAAAAAAGCTTCTCGATTCGTTGAATAGGCTTGATGGAAGTTATGGCAGTGCATTGGAAAAATCTATCCAAACAACGTGTCTAAGGAAATTAAAGGCGGCACTGTAGTAGTAACGATAGTACATAAAGTTGTTTTATCCTGCATGTTTCGCATTCTCGTCCGTCGGTGATGACCTTGTATCCGATCTCATAGAAAGTCATAGGAATGCAACCGGAAGTCAATCATATATCTCTGTTATCTCAAGTGGAGCCAAGGTTTTACAATAGAAAAGAACTTGCGATGCAATTCGAAAAATGGTAGCGATTTAGGTGGGTGTGGCAATGAAACGAAATCTGCGATTGTCATTGAATTTAAACCCTTCGAGATGTTTGTCGAGAGCAGTTAAAGAGTCGAGACCGAAAGAACGTCAAACGGAAGAAAACACAGCAAGATTGTTCCGGATAACGCCAGATATATTTACTGGTGAAGTCAAGGACTACCCACAGGTGTTTCGGAAGAGTTCATCAAGTGGGAATGGCTAGCAAAGGAGTCAATAGTAAGAGGAAGACTCCTGGAACGAAGAACATTTAAATGCAAAAAGAAAATGTAGGGACAGGCAAGCAGTACGAACCCTAAAGAAAGGAGGCAGAGTGAGAATGATGTCAAGAGAAAACCGTCAGCAATACGAGGCGAATGGTAGAAAAGGAGATTTGAACAGACACAGGGTAAAGGTTCAGGACTGATTGCTGACATCGTAGGGTTTTCTACCGATTCTTATCAAAACCAAAGGTTCCGCTATAGAAGTCTTGTGACAGTAGCAAAAGGGGTCAACAGAAACAGGATTCCTGCGTAGGATACCTGCATTGGGAATTTCACTAT